TACATTATTGGTTCAATTGGCCATTGCTGACATTTTAGTAGCCACTTTCTGCTTGTTAGCCGACGCAATTTGGAAGATAACGGTGCAATGGTATGGTGGAAACTTCCTGTGCAAGTTCGTAAAATTCATGCAAATGTTCTCACTGTACTTATCTACGTATGTGTTGGTGCTAATCGGATTTGACCGATTGAGTGCCGTTCGTTTTCCGATGAGCAGAGCTCGATCAAAGAACTATATTCGAAATGGAATTATTTTTATTTGGATTCTCAGCGCATTTTTCAGCTCACCACAAGTAAGATCAAATTTTAGTATTTTTTCTTAAATATAAGTATGTTTAATGAATGAATTTCTTGTATGTTAAAGTAGAAAAGTGTTTCAAAGTGTACAAGTTTTCTGTTAAAGATATCTACGATTCTTTTTAAATTTTTTTTTATAAATTTTAAAAAAATAATGGTTTTATTTCAGTTGGTGAAACATTTATTTATTTTTAATCGCAAGCGCAAAATGTTTGTAGTCAACTCAACCTGATTGTAAAGTTTTGAACTCTTTTTTTTTTCTTCATGATAATTTTTCTACATGTTTCTTTTCCATACATTAAAACAATATGTCTTCAATATTATAAGAAATAACTGAATCAACTTTGAAACACTTAAGTTTTAGATAAATGTTTAAGTTTTTTTTCTAAAATTTTAAAAAAATGAATTCAAATAATGAATGTTTTCAAAAAATAATAAAAATTAAAAACTATTAGTTTAATTTTTGAAAGCATTTGCTGAACGAAAAAAAAATATTTTTATTAAAGAATTAAAATTTGTTAGTATCTTTATATATCATGAAAAGATGATCGTTCTTTTTTATTGTACAAAAAGAAAGCGTTGACAAATATTGACATCATGATCATGACATATTGAATCAATGACAATATGAACAAATATTTGTCTGACATCAGTATACATACAACTAATAAAATTTTTTTATGATATTTAAAAAAAACCTATTTATTTAACCTTTTTTTAAACAAATTTACCAGTAATTATTAACCATCATATGTTACAATTATTTTCTATTATTGTTATGTTTTTTAATTCTGATTATTATCAAAATATGAGACTTAAGGCTTTCTTTTAAGTGGCGTTTTCTTTTGCTTAATTATTAAGTAATAAATAATATTGCCAATTATTCAACATTTTATCATTGAGATATTTTTAAGATTTTATGATTATGATTAAGAAACTGATCTAAAATTATTAAACAATAATTTATTTTTTTAATAAATTAAAAATTTAATTCTTTAATAAATTAAACTAAAATTTAATTCTTTTATAAATTTTATGTAAAAATGTGTTTATTCAACGTATGAAATTAAAACAATAAATACCAAAGCACTATTTAAAGTTCTAAAGTAATATTAGAAATAGATTTTTCGTTAAATTGCTAAATAATATCCTAGGTTGAAAAATATTATAACGTGTTTTTTAACTAACAAAAATTAAATAAAAATTGCAAAAGGCAGTTAAGGGTTAAAGTTGCAAAGATAAACGAACAAAAGGATCTGATTTAAATATTATCCTACTAGAATCGGAACTAAATATGTGGAACCAAGTAAGTGTTAACACAATAAAACATTTTTGATTTTTTTCCTCGATAATTTGTAATTGTAATATAAAAATCTGGTTATCATTAGTAAACAAAGTTCTTTGGGAAGTATTCTTGGACTGGGTATAATATTTATATTTAATTATATTTTTATTTAATTATAATTTTATTTAATTATAGTATAATATTTTAAATTTTATAGAGAACTATAAAAACCTGTAAAAAATATTGTCTATTTAAAATTATTTTAAAATCTCCAATGGTAGACTAATGAATAATTTATATGCTAAAATGTAACAATAGAATGAAATAAAAAGTTTTAACATTTCAAATCCATTTTAACATTAGTTTGCAAGACGTTAGAACGATTCAATGTTTTATTATATAGGCAACGTTAACTACTTGGCGGTATCACGGACGAGCCAAATATTCAGAAAATATTTACTCCTTCATTCAATATTATTTCTTCGAGTAACCTAAGATTTACAGTGTGTTGAAGTGCTATATTGCTGTACTATTGCTCTTGTTATAGGCCTTGACGTCATTGTAATCTTTCTGGCGGTGTAGTATTTGAGCTGACAACATAGTATTCTTTATGAGATCTATTAATTTGATTTGATAGTAATTGATCGTAAGACTTGATAACAATTATGTTATTCGAATAATACGCACGCTGTGATTTATTGGTATAGGACTTTTTTTTTTAAAAAAAACTTTGTTTTCCATTTGTATTCAAAACTATTGACATCTGAAACTCTAGGCAGACATTTTTTTCCAATTTTTCTTTCCGCGAGTTCAACACGTGTAATTTTTCATGTGTAATCCAACGTGTATCACGTGTAAAATTTTAAGAGTTCCTCACTTTTAATTTGTGTGTTAATATTTTTTTTTTTTTTGTTTTTAAGAAAATTTTGAAAATAAAAGGTATTTTAATCTCTTACGTAACCCTTGAACATACCCCATTTTTGTTTTAAAAAAAGAAAGAAAGAAAATTACAAACCCTACTCACTTTAGGTGCTTACGCAATATTTGAGCAGCCTCTTAATATATATATATATATATACATACACTGGTGTGCAAAACTTAAGCAACAAGTGCGTTTTTTGTCANATATATATATATATATATATATATATATATATATATATATATATATATATATATATATATATATATATATATATATATATATATATATATATATATATATATATATATATATATATATATATATATATATATATATATATATATATATATATATATATATATATATATATATATATATATATATATATATATATATATATATATATATATATATATATATATATATATATATATATATATATATATATATATATATATATATATATATATATATATATATATATATATATATATATATATATATATATATATATATATATATATATATATATATATATATATATATATATATATATATATATATATATATATATATATATATATATATATATATATATATATATATATATATATATATATATATATATATATATATATATATATATATATATATATATATATATATATATATATATATATATATATATATATATATATATATATATATATATATATATATATATATATATATATATATATATATATATATATATATATATATATATATATATATATATATATATATATATATATATATATATATATATATATATATATATATATATATATATATATATATATATATATATATATATATATATATATATATATATATATATATATATATATATATATATATATATATATATATATATATATATATATATATATATATATATATATATATATATATATATATATATATATATATATATATATATATATATATATATATATATATATATATATATATATATATATATATATATATATATATATATATATATATATATATATATATATATATATATATATATATATATATATATATATATATATATATATATATATATATATATATATATATATATATATATATATATATATATATATATATATATATATATATATATATATATATATATATATATATATATATATATATATATATATATATATATATATATATATATATATATATATATATATATATATATATATATATATATATATATATATATATATATATATATATATATATATATATATATATATATATATATATATATATATATATATATATATATATATATATATATATATATATATATATATATATATATATATATATATATATATATATATATATATATATATATATATATATATATATATATATATATATATATATATATATATATATATATATATATATATATATATATATATATATATATATATATATATATATATATATATATATATATATATATATATATATATATATATATATATATATATATATATATATATATATATATATATATATATATATATATATATATATATATATATATATATATATATATATATATATATATATATATATATATATATATATATATATATATATATATATATATATATATATATATATATATATATATATATATATATATATATATATATATATATATATATATATATATATATATATATATATATATATATATATATATATATATATATATATATATATATATATATATATATATATATATATATATATATATATATATATATATATATATATATATATATATATATATATATATATATATATATATATATATATATATATATATATATATATATATATATATATATATATATATATATATATATATATATATATATATATATATATATATATATATATATATATATATATATATATATATATATATATATATATATATATATATATATATATATATATATATATATATATATATATATATATATATATATATATATATATATATATATATATATATATATATATATATATATATATATATATATATATATATATATATATATATATATATATATATATATATATATATATATATATATATATATATATATATATATATATATATATATATATATATATATATATATATATATATATATATATATATATATATATATATATATATATATATATATATATATATATATATATATTTATATATATATATATATATATATATATATATATATTGGCGTAGTTTAGAAATAGAGTAAAAAATAAATTTTAAATAAATAAGAATAAAAGGAAGAATAAAACAATTTATTGCTCTCACAAGTAAATAAACTGAGTGTTCGTTGTTTTCGCGTGATTTTGGCTATGTAATACAAAAAAAAATATGTAATTACACCAATGTAGCTTTAAAAGCAATTTAATGTGGGAAATACAAACGAAAACAAAAATAAATGTTTCGACCATCAAGATATTTTGTTATTATCAAAATGAACGTCTTTTGACCAATGCACTGGCCGATCCTCTGGCCTGGCGAACATCCTCTATACTGGCGAGCTCATGTAATGACTTCATGCAAAGTCGTTGCAATTCTTCATCGGTAAAATCAGATAAATAGCTTGGATCCAACACCTGATACCATAAAAAAGAAAGTATGTTCCTAAGAATTAAAATTGGAATACGTAAAGCTCGAAAAGTGAAACTGTTAGTTTACTTATTTTCCTATAAAATTTAAGAACGGATGTAAGGAAGTGCATAGAGTGCCAGTTTTTATCACAATCTAAGTAACTCTACTTTACAAAGTAATTATCTAAGTAACTGTTATTAATTTAAAGCATCTTTCCCTTTCGAAGATATTGAATTCAATTCATCATGAATCACATAAGCAAAATATAAACATTTGAACTGTACAAAGTATTTAATTTGCAGCATATTACCTTCCATTCAAATTATGAAATATAGAATGAAAATTAAATTTGATCGGTAGTTTTTAATTGGATCAGTTTAATTTTTACGGTCCATTGTAAAAGGATATTAATTGAAAAAAACTGTATTTTTCAATAGTTACTTAATATACCCTACAAATAAGCTCCTTCTTTGAAGAATTTAGTCTATATATTAGCACTATGCCGTCCGCTAGCGTTTGGACAGCATAAACCACTTTGACCGTTTGTAGACCCTCTTTCGGTTTCGACTCCACCCTAGAAACAATTCTACCTTGACCCCAGTTGTGTTCAAAATTGTTTCCTCCATGGGTCCAAAATTGGCTCCTATATGGGTCCAAAATTGGCTCCTATATGAGTTCAAAATTAGCTCCTATTTGGGTGCAAAATTGTCTCCTATATGGGTGCAAAATTGGCTCCTATATGCGTTCTATAAGAACATGCATCGGGGGATCAATATTGAGATGTCAATATTTTGCAATATTGGTCCTAGAATGGCCTATATAGGGCCTACATTGAGCAGCGTAAAACCTATATTGGCTAAATAATGGCTATAAAATGTCGGGTGCATCTTATAATTCTATATAGGACCGATATATTGGTTGTAAAGTGACTGTAAAATATCGAGGGAATAGGTAATTTCTATACAGGACCAATATCGGAAAAATAAAGGTCCTTTGAACCCTTACTGAGCCAATATTCATGAGTATTGGCCCAGTGAGCGCCCAAGTTATTTTTCTGCTAGGGTATACACAGGCGTATCTAGACGGTATCAAAAATACTTGTTTAGAAAAATGGACACTGCTCAAAATGCATGTTTAAGAAAATGGACACAGCTTAAAATGCGTGTTTCAGTAAATGGACATTTAGACTGAAACACGCTTTTCAGTAAAAGTGTCATCATGTTTAAAAAAAAATAGACAGATTTGATTCCGTTTATTTGTTAAAGAATAAACAAATGAATTCTGAAAAATCAGGTTGCATGTTATCACTTGGCACATATTATTTAATTAGTCATTTTTAAGACTTTAAAAGTGAAGTCAGCAGCTGTTTTTACAAAGTTGCCACGGGTGATATAGGTTTCGTAACAGCAGTGGAAATTTACGTAGTAGGAATTCAGCGTTTTAAAATTCAGTTCTAACTTAAGAGTTCTGAGTATACGCAAACGTCGCCTTATGTGTTACATTTGTAATGCATTTAGCCATCCAGACTCTGAAATTCAGGACTTAGCTCAACAATTATTTTTTATAACCGTCGTTGAACAACCTACCCAATTTTCGGGTTTACGACTACTAATGTTCAACTCCGTAGCCGTGTAATTTTGAACTCAATCCAGAAGACTAGGAAACTCCTGGGTCAAGTATTGGGAGAAATTTGCCTTTGTCGAGGACTTTTTGATGGAACTATGGTACCGGGCCACACATTTCACTCAAACTGAATTTAAATTCCTAAGTTTACACCCCAAATTAAAAATATTTGTGCTTCATTAAAACTCTATTTATTTAACACGTTCACGCCGAGAAAAGTGAAAATACTGGTACGGGAAAAGAGAAAATACTGGTAGAAGAACTATTTCAATATTAGATAATATTCGGGAGGAGTTAATCTATTCTCAACAATAACAATTCATTGTAAGAAAATTTATCACGGCGAAGAAGCAATTCAATATAAAAATTGCATCCGTTAAAAACAATTCGTAGTTATGGTTTTTTATTATTCCCGGAAAAAAACTAAAAAATGAAATTTATTTGTTACCAGTTTTTACTCCGGTGCGCTGCCAAAATGAGACAATCTATCGTGACCCACCGGTGGGTCACCCCGGCGTGAACGTATTAAAAAAAGGGGACCCCCGAAGACAGTGACATAAATTTTTTAATATTTTAAAAAGTTAAAAAAAAAGAAAAGAAAACCTCCGAAACAATTTTGTCTTACAATTAAAATTAATAAAAAAAAATCAATCATCATAACTGTAAATATCATAAATGAAACACGAAAGCGCGGCTCGAAATTTACAATGGAACTAATGAAGTCTTCTCTCTCGATCGTGACTCATTGATTTAACGTTCCAGTAAGTTAAAATTTTAAATCACTTTATATTTATTTTTTGGTGTAACTGTATTTTATTTTGGAGGCATGTTTAAATACAATTAAATTAAAATTAATAAATCAAAATAATCTAAAATATAAACAATCAACGTCCGTCCCCCCAGCGTGACATTGTAAAATTATCAAACGTTGACAGGTCTGAGGTGATAAAAAGGATGGGGAACACTGATCTAGGTAATAAAATGGTTCAGCGCATTGTGCTTTCATGCAGAGATAATTCTAGAAACTTGTAACATACCTATCGGGAAACAATGCTATTCGAAAAAATTCCGGAAATGTTACTTACTGATATGAATCCTCTTCTAATGTGCTTCAATTCATCTAGGCATTTTTCGACCAGTATCCACTTCAAGCACCGTTCAATATACCAGAACTTATTCTCTTCCGTCACTAATGTTCCTTTCTGCAAACCATACTCCATTGATTCACCACCCAGAGAATCCTTCACCGTGAACGACATCTTACGATCTGAGATATCATTTTCTTTTATCCATACTAATTTCTGGTAGAACAAAGGATCAATTTCTTCTAGATCTTCAAGGCATAGCGGCCTGTTATGGGAAAGAAAAACTAAAAATAACAGCGAAGATTACAGAACATAGCAATTTCTTCTATATTTAACATTTAGTAAGATTTTAACATGTTGAAGTTTCTGTATTTGGCGATAATTTTCGAGTGAAACTTCATTAATACTCGATAAACTAATAAAATGTAAATTAAGTCTGTTTTAATGTTTGAGGTGCAAAAGCTCTTTAGGTGCAAATTCTCTGGTGCAAAAGTTCTTTAACACTTTATTTACCGCTTCCCTGACTATCCCGAGTTAACTCCGATATGTATATATTGCAAATATTTATTATCCCGAGATAACTCGGGTATGTATGTATTACAAATATTTATTATCCCGAGATAACTCGGGTATGTATTTATTGCAAATATTTATTATCCCGAGATAACACGGGTATGTATGTATTGCAAATATTTATTATCCCGAGATAACACGGGTATGTATATATTGCAAATATTTATTATCCCGAGTTAACTCGGGTATGTATATATTGCAAATATTTATTATCCCGAGTAAACTCGGACATAGCAGAATTCGTCAATACGTTTTGTTTTATCACGTTTTTATTCGACCGGAAGCAAAGCAAAAAATAATAATAATCTGCTGTGATTGGAAGTTTGCCAACAATTGTTTGGGAGTTTTGCTATTTGTCGAACTGTAGACGTGTTTTGTACAATTGTATATACGATGGTCGATGAATTTACACAGAAAAAATAGTAAACAAAATGGCGTCCATGAACGAAAGTGAAAGTAATGCAGATGATTTTTCACATTATGAAGATGTGAAGCAATACAAAGACTAATATTTAACTTTTTTCATTTGCCCGAGATAATTTGAGGTAGTAAACTGATGGCAAATTAAATAATTTTTACACATAAAAAAAATTAAAACTTGTGTATTATGTTTTGTTTTAGATCTTTGTATTTATTAATCAAATAAAAAAAATATGTTGATTTTTTGAATTTTTTTTTTTATCAAAAAAATTGGTAAGGGAGGGAAACGGTTAACTATTCTATAGCAAAATTATAAAGTTTAAAATTTACGATCTATGATGTCATTTTTTTTATCCATACTAATTTCTTGTAGATCAAATTTTTCTAGATCTAGAAGAACTAATAAAATGTAAATTAAGTCTGTTTTAATGTTTGGTGATATTTTTCTTGGTCTCGAGTAAAAGTTTTTTAACCCTTTAATAACTAATCTATAGCAAAATGATAAAGTTTAAAATTTTCATATTCGGCGATAATTTGCTGTGTTTAGGTGGATTAGTTAGGGGGATACAGTAAAATTTTAAAATATCAAAACTTTCCAATTTGACAATAATTTTCTCTGTTTCCGGGAGAGGGAGATTTCATTAACGTTATATTAACACAGCAAAAACAGGGTGTGTAGCGAAATTATTCAAAAAAAAAAAAAAAAAAAAAAAAAAAAAAAAAAAAAAAAAAAAAAAAANAAAAAAAAAAAAAAAGAAAGAAAGAAAATAAGCACATTTTAAGTACTCAAAAAATATTTTTAAGCACCTTAAAAAATTTCATAATTAAGCGGAGTAGGAAAGTTTTTGACAATTAGCGGTTTTATCTTGTTTTAACCGTCATGTCAAAAAAAAACAACCTTTTGCCAAAAGCCTACCAAATAACGTGAAACTTTGAATCACGTAAAACGAATTGCGTTTTCATACGCTACGGACTGACTATAAGCCGAAATAGATTGGGGTTGAATTAATTGTGAAAACGTTGAATAGAACAACGTGAACTGTGTCTTTTTGCATTATTCGAAGCGAAAATCAACATAGCGAAGGAAAGATCTCATTTAGAAAAGGGGAAAATTAAGCACACCCAATGAAAAAAGCACCTGCAGAGATGAGAGAAGTCAGATATATATATATATATATATATATAGCTANTATATATATATATATATAGAGAGAGAGAGAGAGAGAGAGAGAGAGAGAGATACAAAAAAGTGCGATTTTTAAACTTGTATACCATGTGATTATAAATCCTGATGATTAATTTTAAAATCGTATGAATATATGAATATGAATCACATGCATGATTTTAAATTGAGAGAATATAAATCCCGATATGAGGCTTTTAAATCACATGAATATGAAACTCTATATAGTATTTAAAAAATGCGAAAATACAAATCATGATGCGTAATTTTTAGATCACGTAAATACGAATCACGATGCATAATTTTTAAATCGCGCGAATACGAATCCCAATGTCTAATTTTTAAAGCACGTATAAATACGAAAATCAATGTTTGATATTACAACCGCAAAAACGAATCACGACATTGAACTTAGAGAGAAACTTCAGAGGGAGGAATGAGGACTTCAATACTTTTGCTCCGCGGAAAATTAAATTCCTCATAAAATATTTTAATTTGTGCAAAAAATATTTTCCGCTGAAATTAGCGGAAAAAATGGAAAAATCTGAAAAAAAGCGGAAATCCGCGGATCCGCGAAAGAATCACATCCCTGGCTCACCTGTAAAGGCTTTTAAAAAACGAAAACAAGCACTTTTTAAAAACGCTACGCACCCTGAAAAATTATAACGCATCAAAAATTTTATACATGGCAATAACTCGCTTTATTTGGGGGGGGGGGAGGGATTTCCTTAGCAGGGTAAAAGTGAGTAAAATTATAACTCAAAAATATTATCTTTCTTACCCTAAAATATTTATAACTTCAAAATTATTAGTTCTATATAGTATTTAATTGCATTCTATTCCGTGGAAAAATTCCCTTGTCTAAACACCTATGTCAATAGATCCACGTCTAAAATTGTGTTCTTCTTTAACCCATAATAGTTTCCAAATTATTAGTTTCATTGGTTCCGTCTCATTCGATTCTGCCGGAAATAATTCCTCGTTTGATAGAATATTTAAGTTTCTTGTTCTGCTGACACACGTTTATGTAACTCACTATGAGGAGGGCCCTAGATATTTTGTTCTTGGTGAAACATGGGTAAATACTTGGGAGAAGCCCTATTTTTTTGTAATTTGCCATCAAAAAAATGATGAAATTTTTTTTAAAAAAATCTAAATATTTAGAGAAGTTTTTTGTAACATTTAATGCGTTTCAATATGTATATAATGCTTGACACACATCAAGGCAATCATAAAATCTCTCCACATTTCATGTAAATCGCTTCAATGTGGCGTCATACCATCAAAAGTTTTTTCTAGGTTCTTAATCATTATCATCGATTTTTCTAGATTTTTAACAATTAACCGTGGTGGCTCAGAAAAAAGAACGTTCGCTTTCTAATAAGGTGAACCAGGTTCGAATCCCAGCGATGGCTGGTATATACAAATTCCGCATGCGTCTCGCACCGACCATAGTTCTAACTCAAAATAGTAGTCCGTAGACGGATCACGGGTTAGAGTCCACTTGCCGTCAAGCTAACCATTGGAGGTTATCGTGGTTTTCCTCTCCACGTGCCGTACTCATACACCGAAGAGCCATTACATTATGACCACCCTGCTAATAACATGTAGGACCACCTTTGGCCCTTAAAACTGCTAGCACCCGCAGTGGTATTGATTCCACAAAGTGCTGATAGGTAGTCTGAGGTATCTGGTATCAAGCGCTCACCAACTGGTCCTGCAATTCCCTCAGATTGCGAGGGGGTAGCGTAGCAGCACGAATGTGGTTTTCCAAGTTGGACCACAAATGCTCTATTGGATTAAGGTCAGGTGAGTTTGGGGACCAAGACATGACTTGAAAGTCACTGGAATGGTCCTCGAACCAATCCATGACGATTCGACACTTATGACATGGTGCATTATCCTGTTGGTAAGCACCATCCCCCGTAGGAAAACTGTCTCCATGAATGGGTGAACCTGGTTTGCAACTATGTTCAAGTAACTTACAGACGTCAGGAATTGTGCTATCAGGATTATGGGTCCTAATGTGTCCCATGAAAACATTGTTCCTGGGCGAGAAACCATGAAAACCTGGGAGAGCCCATTGTTATAGATGCAGGGTGGTCATAATGTAATGGCTCTTCGGTATATATATATATATTTCACGGTACAAATCTGAAGACTTACCTGTCTAGGAAGCAGTTGAAGAAGCACTTTGGGAACTTGACCTTGACAGGGTGCTGGTGCACAATGGTGAGGGCCAAGACTACTCCGGCAAACTCAAACCACCGAGGATGAGAATGTGTTCCGTGATTCGGATACAAATAAGTAGAATCTTCGCTGGGATTGCAGAACAAGCCTTTGTGCTCAACAGAGAACAGCCTCTCCGTCATCAGATTGAAGAACTCGTCGGTCTGGTCTTCTTCCAGTTCCCTTCTCTCAAGACCAGAAAAGCTCGAACTAAAACAAAAGATTATGTATTTAAAAATGAAATTTACAATTTTAACATGACGTTTTTAAAGTGGACTAAAAAGAAGAACTCCTTGGTCTGTGCGATGAGAGTCACATTGACCATGTCAACCTTCACCTATGTTAAGGTAGCAATTCATAGAATCGAGTTAACATGTCTCATAAACTAGTGAATTGGAATTGTATTGTTGTAGTGGTAGACACACTACAGTACTACCCCACCAGAATTATAGCTGTGATAGAATTTGATGAACGGATACTACTAGTTGACTCATTGCTGTTTTGTAAAAATCCGGGAGAGTTGTATTAAGATCACCGTAATTTTCAGTGGTGATCGTGAGAGTTGTATTAAGTTTACGGTCGTGGTCACTCCTGTGTTGCTTTTAGCAGTCGAGTGTATACGTTTTACGTTGTGTGCGATCGAGACTGAGAAGCAACAGCGTGAGGAGGACAATGTCGCAGTCACCAGTATCAAGTCAACTGTTCAATGTGAACCATCCATCGAAGTAGGCGTGTTCACATCACGTCCGGGTCACCAATGTGCTGAGAGTCACATCGACCATGTCTTATATACTAGTAAATTGGAATTGTATTTTTGTAGTGGTAAACACACTACAGTCTGGTTATTTTTTGATTCTCTATTTATTTGTGACCAAAATCAAATATTAAATATTTAAATGAAATTAAAATATTTAAAAACTACGTTTTTTAAAATGGAATAAAAAAGTTAAAACACTTCGGCCTGGATTTCCGACTCTCTCTAAGACTAAAATAAAAAATTAAATATAAAAAAAATAATATATAAAATATTTTAAAGCAACGTTTTTAAGCGATCTAAAAGTGAAAACTACTTGTTCTAGTTCTAATCCGAGTCTCTTTTAATAAGATCCGAAAAATTTGAGCTGCAGTAAAAGATGAAAAAATTTGATGATGATTCTAAAAATACTTTTCAATCGAGCTAAAAGGAGTAAAGAATTTTATTTTTTGTAATGCTTAAAGTGGCATAAGACATATGGCGCATAACTTTCGAAAGCGTCGAGCAAAGTCTTATTGGTAATAGTAGTTAACTGTGTGATGCGTTCTGTATTGTTCATATTCGGCGTAACAAAATATATATGTTTCCTTTTTTAATTCACTTGAAAAACGCAGTATTTTATCTCCCTCACTCATTAGATCAATTTATTAGAAGCACTGTAGTTTTCTAATAATTTCATGTTTCGCACAAGTTTATAGGCAATACTTTTATATTTAAACATACATGTAATGGGGTTTTTACTCAGGAGATTTTTTTATATACTTCCTATACCAATTTATTTTTAACGTATAGCATTGCAATGTTAAAACCAGTTGATACCGGAGCGTAAACAAGTGCAAACCGGTTTCTGTCGTGTAAAAAGCTGTATAGCATCACCTGATAATTTACAATTTTACATAGAATCTTATAGTGCGTCTAATAATATGACAAGAGACCGTACAAATAAAACTAGAGTTATATTTTAGATAACAATAAATCTTACATTCTGTCCGTGATGTAAGCCTTTATGAATCGATAATGATTTAACGGAACCCTTGAAGGTGCCATCAAAAGCAGGAAAGCGTCTTCCAGAAGTTGATTCTCTCGAGCTTTGAGCCTGGATTCAAAATAAACTCGCATTAATATCAATAAGTTTGATTGCATTTTTAAAATAAATTATTCAAAACTTATAGAAACGATTAAATTCAAAAAAGAGCAACTGGTTTTTTTGATAATTCTTTTTATTAAATTATGGAATATTTACACAAATAAGAGAAATTACAGACTCTTTTTATTTATAAGAATTGAATTTTAATTTAAAAACTTACTGTGTAAATAGAATTCAGTTCAATTAGGTTATCAAATTATTGCATAGCGGAATAAAATTTAGAGAAAAATGTTCCATATTCGTGTATTTAAAATGGTATTCAATCGCAAGGAAATTATTTTTATAAATAAAGGAAAAATAAAAGATGCATAACTTCATACATTCCACAGCTGAGATGGAAAAAATAAATACAAGGTAATTAAGTAAGGAGGTCGCAAACGTGGTTTAGAGGAATTGTGTATCATAAGAATTAAAAATTGCGTAGCTACCCATGCCCGGAATTTCACCGTTATGAACTGACTATCCATGCGCAATTGATAATTTTATTTACATAAATTACTTTAATTTTACTTTACTGTTCCGTTTTGCGAGAATTAAAGTCGAAAGTTACACTTAAACAGAAAGAAAAATAGTTGTTTTGTCTTAAACTTTTGACTCTTGTTCTGCCTAAACTATCGGGATCTTATTTATTGAAGGCCCAGAGTACAAATCTACGAAAAAAATTACTTTTATTCAGAGACTTCTTTTTGTTCGATTTCGTAATTTAAAATATCATCTGTTACTTGACTCTTCTATTTAAAATTGTTTAAAATCGTAAGCATAGTCACCGACAGGTCTCCAGGAAACTGTAAGGGGAGTTAAGTTAGACAGACAGTATCTTTATAACAACATCGATTACATATTAGCATTCAAAATTGCTTTTTTGATGCATGCTAACTCAATTGTTACCATAAAGCTAACTTAGAACTTGAAAATAATAAAAAACAATGTACAGCATACACTAAAGCAGGGCCATTAAATAATTCGCTGTCCTCTAGGTTGTCGTATAAACTCCACAACTTATCAATTATAGTATGCTTCCTTCTCTGTGCAAAATCTTCTAAATGAGAAAAAAAAATTTATTCACGGTGATTATAATTAAAGTTTCATATTCAAAAAGCTGCAAAAAAGAAACTGCTGGTAAGAATGACTAGCTATCTTCTTTGAATATAATTAAAGCAATGAAAAGTCATTTTTAGGAAACAATAGTTCTAAAATTAGCCGATAGACGGTGCTGTAATTTTCTTGTATACTAAACGTTGACTGCCTCAAACATGCTTTTTTCTTTTTTTATATTTTTTATAACCGTCGTTGAACAGCCGATCCAATTTTGGATTTAGGACTACAAATGATCAACTCCGTAGACTTGTAATTGTGAAACAAACCCAAAAGACAAGGAAACTCCTGGATCAGTACTCCTAGAGGTATTGATTTGTATTGGGAACATGGAGGACTCAGTGCCTCGACAGATTTAACGTGCAGCAGTCACCATTAACTGCACGGAGACTCTTCTTCCAAAGGGGATCGAACCCAAGACCTCTTGGACATGGGCCCCGTTCCCTACCCACCCGGCTATCCCAGCCAACGGTAACACTATAGTAAAATTCAAATCTGCGTTAAATGTAAGACGAAAAAAAGGCTCGTTACAAATATGCACATAATGTGTAGAGGCCAGGAAATCCTCCTCTCCCACGGCTGTAAACCACTTCATTGGAATATTTACTTCCCGATGTACACAGGCCAAAACATTGAGGACAATATCGTCGCCGTTAAACTAATTGAAAAGCATAAAAGTTAATATGACATCGAAAACAATTTGTACAGACAGGCGTCCGAGAGCAATGTCGTCACAAGACAGAATTAATGTTGTAAATAAATTAATGTTGAAAAGATGTTTAAAATTTGCGGTTCGAATCCCAGCGATGGATGGTCGATACGCATCCGGCTTGTGCCGATCACAGTGCTGATATAAAATATCCTCAGTGGTAGACGGATCATAAGTTAGAGTCCCCTTGCCGTCAGGCTAACTGTAGGAGTAATATAAATCTAGGTATTTTTGAAGAAAGTAGTATTTAGTTTGGTAATGTGTTCGATTGTGGGCAATGTCGTCGGTTTTCAATCTTCCGTAAAATGATTTTTCTTAGTTTTTCATACACTCAGATGAAGCATCAGATTATTTAAATAAAAATAACCGAGCAGTTATTTTTATTTAACAATAGTAAAATATTAATAATAAAAAATCTGCCTTTTAAATCTATAAAGCAACTTAATATACGAACAACACACTAACATTGCATTAAAAGTATTAACTTAATTCAGTAAATTGTAAAATATCTCTTTATATTCAGTCGTTTCGGGTGTTAAACATTTTGTGACAACTAGCAACTTGACAATACAAAAATATGTGAAAAATGTACAGGTTGTACAATGGAATGAATATTTTATATATATATTTTTAGCAGTCGAGTGTATACGTTTTACGTTGTGTGTGATCGAAACTGAGAAGCAACAGCGTGAGGAAGATAATGTCGCAAGTAGCAAGTCAATTGTTCAGTATGGACCATCCATCGAAGTAGGCGTGTTCAAATCGTTGTGGGCGTTTTTGCCAAGGTAGGCGTGTTCACATCACGTCCGGGTCACCAATGTGGGGAGAGTTGTTGTCGACAATGTCAACTTTCATCTATGAAAAGGTTTCATCCATGAAAGGTATGACTTGTAGTGGTAAATACACTGCAAACCGAAATATTATTTATTGAAAGTTTTTTGAACTCTTTGAAACTCTTTTTTATTCCCAATTTTGTTAAAGTGCAAACAGTTTTATATACTTTATGCATACTAACAAATTGAAATTCTGAAATATTTTTTAATCGGAAAATGATCTAATATTTAACTGTTTCGCTAATCTTAATGTTCCTGAAGCTTTTAATTTCCATTCATTGCTTTTATAAGTACTTATCTCAAATCTCTCGCGAGGGCCTTCCTGCCCCGTCAAATTCGTCGAAAAAGAGGGAACACGTAGCAGCGAAAAGACTATGATGTTGGAAGAGAAATGGGGAAATAAAACAGACGACTTACTCTACTTCCATTTCATCTCTATGGTTGCGAGCAGTTGCTTTTAGAATGATTTCTGTTTAATTGACTGTAAAATCAAATTTAAGTGAATCTTATTGAGTGTTAAAGGCAACAAGTTAAGCAAAAGTGTCGCACTAAATGAGATTATTTTGAATGTAATAGTGTAGTAAATGATCACAACTTTAAATGAATGTACAGTCAAACCCCGCTATAGTGAACACGGTTTATACTGAACTCCCGGATATAGTGAACGAAATGTTCGGTCCCGTACCTTGCTATACAAGTATAATGTTATTTTTTGTGGATATAGTGAACTAAAAAAGTGAGGAAGTTGAATATTGTGAAATTTTTTCTGTCTTCGACTGAACTTTTTTTCTTTACTTTTCTTAAAATAATTATNTAGAACCGCTACTCCATATATATATAATTAATCTTGAATTTGCACTAGGCATATAAAACTGGCAAAAATGATATAATATGATCAAGCAGTATTTTTTTTTTTTAGATTTATCCGAAGTACTCGTAGTACTTCAGGGTATGCCCCAAAAAATAGGACCCTTTAGACATTTTAAGTCTGGGGTCCCAAAATACACTCTATAACAAAAAAATCGACGCACCAAGAAGCAATTATCTGATTGCGTTGAAATTTCGTATGCATGAATGTTTTGAACAGATCAGGCTGGGGATGTATCGTTCATCGAAGACGTGTTTGGAGACACACAGGGCAGAGGGGGGATCCTGCCTTCACACCGGCCCTCAACAAGGCATTATGGTCTGGGGTGAAATTTCCTTTGACCTCTTTGGTCGTCATTAGAGGTACACTTACTGCACAGCGGTACGTCGACGACATCCTAAGACCTGTTTTGCTACCGTTCCTTTTGTAGTGACCTGGGCTGGTTTTTCAGCAGGACAATGCCAGACCACATAAGTCACGTGTTGTTATGAACTGTCTGCAAGCTTGTCAAACTCTGCCTTGGCCTGCCAGATCACCAGATCTCTCTCCCACCGAGCATGTCTGGGATATGATGGGAAGGCGATTGCATCTGGCACGAAATGTTGATGACTTCGTTCGACAATTGAATCAAATTTGGCAGGAAATATCGCAAAAGACCATCCGGGAGCTCTATCGGTCTATGCCACGGCGTGTGGCAGCTTGTATCCAGGTTAGATATGCATACCCTCCAACTGCTACGGAATTTCCGTAGTTTCAGAAATGTTCTTTTCACACGGTAGCAAAATTAATGTCTTAATATTTAAAAAAAAATAATTTTAGCGTAACTTGTCCACTATTACTTATAAAAGTGCAGGCCATATGGCTAGATTCTTAAGTTCTGATAAAAGTTTTATGAGAGATCCATTTGCTTTAAAAATTTCTACTTTGGTTCGCTACCACTAGAAAGAATTATTTTCAAAATCTTCATAAGTTGGAGG